TTATTTCGCTTCCTTTAATTGCTTACAAATAAATTTGCCACCTTTTTTCTCGGAAAAACCTTTCCTTTTCGCAATTTGTCGAATGGGAATCGCTAATTTCGCTATTCGCTAAAGGAAGCAAATAAGAAAGTAAGAAATTTTGTTGAATCAATCGCACTTAATTGTTTGACATTTGAAAATTATCCATGCGATGTCGTTTCATTCATTCTTTTCTTAATTTTCCTTTCATGCATTTTTGCGAAATAAAATTTTATATTTATGTAAATTTATTTATTTATTTTAAATTAATAAATTTATTTATTTTAAATTAATAAATTTATTTATTTATTTGTTTATTAGAAAATTTTTTGATGCGCATTGTTCTATAAAATTTTTAAAGCTTTTTCTAAAATAGTCGATGAAATAAAGTGATTTTTATTTAAAGTTTTCCAGGCATTTTTTGCAGATTTGTTACACGTAGACTGTTAATTTCAGGCATTTTTTGCAGATTTGTTACACGTAGACTGTTAATTTTAGGCATTTTTTGTTACGCGTAGGCTGTTAATTTTTGTATATTTTTTATAAGTCTTACCTTTTTTTTTGAAAAAGTTTACCTATTCATTAATTTTTTGAAATAAATGAATTTTATAATTAATGGGTAATTAATGGGTTGGTGAAATGGCTTAGTGGGTTGTTGCTGTTTCATTTCGATGCTGGGATTTTACTCTCAGCTGGAATAATCCTAAATCTTCTAAAAAATCTCGATGATTCTCACTTCTCACCAATATTTCTATCGCCAAGCGACCTTCCTTCCAAAGCTTCTTTGGTCCGGTGAATACCGAGCCGAATAATAGTCAGAAATGAGGAGCGTTCTTGAGGTGAGAAATAGATAATCTGCACGCATTAAATTTAGTGAAAATATAATTAGGTTGCCATGGAATTTAATATTACTTCATTTACTTTATTCTACTTTACTCATTTAACTGAAAATAGCGTTAATAATTATAATGCACTATTTATGGATTCATTAATAATTTTTGCATGGATCAAATCTACTATATTTGTGATATATTTTTTGATAAGGTAAGTCTCAAAATGTCTCTAATCTGAATGTTGCAATTCCGGCAAATAATTGCAAAAAATATGTAAAATTCGCTTTTCGACTAGATAAGATTCTTCTTAACCTGACATGGACCGTGGTGCTTAGTTGGTTTCACCATGTCTGTGGTCCTTTCCTCACTAATTTTGTTTTAAAAAGATTATTCTAAGAAGGTACCTATAAGATGAGATCTATAGGCCTTTAAAGAGAATCTATAGGCTTTACCAGCCTAACAACTAGGTTCACAAGGAACGAATATATATATGCATATATATAGGCAACTAGGCTAAAGAGATATACTAGCAGATGCCAAAATGATATGCATTGTTCAGCTAAGAATCATCCTAGTTGTATTCTCAATTGCAGTACAACAATATGGTAGCAACAGAACTATCAGCAGTGAAAACTGAACAATACTGGAAGAATATATGAGAGAAAAGAAGATTCATATTCTAACACCAACGCAAAGAGGACTTAAGAATAAGTAGCAGCAATCTCCCAGAGTAAGAACCAGTTACCGTCGCATTGGCATCCAATAGCGGGTTAAAAACATGTAGAGCTGGACAGCGCCTGTCCAGAAATGATCCACATTTACTGGCTAAAGAAATTAACAAGTGTACCTAAACACCTAGTAAGATGAACTAATTGCTTACAGTAGACTCCCACTCAAACTGGTTAACACAGGGAAGGACGGTATTATTCATGAAAAACCCTAGTAAGAGACCTACATCATCCAACTGTTGACGAATAATGTGCCTCTCCACAAATGTACTAAATACTTGGGCACCATAGCTGTCAAATTAATTTCATATACATAATCGGTATGGGTGAGAGACCGATAGTAAGACCATATGAGCCAATTCATGAGTATACAAAAGGGTGTTGGGAACAACATCTGAGGCTCAAAACACCAGGTACTTACCTGGTACTTATATATAAAGTAGTCGCTAAAAGCTCAAGATTTCAATAGACCAACATGGATTGAGTGTAGGAAAGCCTTTTATTTGACTCAATGCCCCACAGGTGAATGTCTGGTTTAAACAAAGTCAACAGGATCCTAAAGACGTTCATTGAGAATTTAGTGAGACTGTGGAAAAGGACTCTTGTAATCAATTCAAAACTTGCACAAGTGGCTAAGTGCGACATATCATGGTGACATATGTATTAGCTACTATTCTGCATAAGCCTAACCCCTACAGCTAGATAATTTTCACTCTTGGATAAATGCTGGGAATGAACGAGGCATTGATTCGTTCATTCATCTGGCTGGTTACAAGTATCTTGCTTGATATCCCACAGTCACCTAAAAATCGCGTGAAGAAAGATAGCAATATGAAATATTGCCAAAGAATAAAATAATTCAACAGCTAGCGCAACGTGCTATATCGGGAAAAATTTTGCTGTAAATATGTATGGTCGCACCAGTCATCAAATACGGGAATAATAAGATGGTCAAGTGGAGTGCAGATGTGAAGATCAGAAACTCCTCATAATGCATTGAAATTTCCACCCAAAGTCGAAGATTTTCACCATCCGGAAAAATGGGTGAGACTTGCTGAGTGTTTTGACCACTGTTTTGAAGGAAATTCAGGAATACATTAGCAAGATGGCACCAAAAGATGAGCTGCTAAGAGAATATCAGAAACATTGGAAAAGCATCAAGCAGAGGAAATACCCATGGCAAAGCAAGGCCTTCCATAGATTGCACCATCGATAGATAGTCAAGGTAGCTGATATTGTGAAATCCTACCAATCGTTGGAAAAAGCTAGATTAAAAGATAGTAGTGAGGCACAAGAACTAGTACTAAGCACCAGATCCATCAAAGTAGGAGTTTGCCATATCTGATAGATGCAAATCGTGCAAAAGGCCTCAGAAATTGTCCATCGTGGCAGTATGTAAGATGGAGGAACAACATTTAAGCATAATAAAGGCATTATGTACAGGCATATCTGCTTATCTTATGCCTTCGACCCAAAAATCAGATGGAAGATTCTCCAAAAAATCGCAAAGAATAAGGCCAAGGTCTTATGGAATTTCTCCATCCAGTCCACCATATATAAGAAAAAGGACGAAAATTGTGCACAAGTGTTTATAGCAATACGAGTGCAGGAATATTAAGAAAAACGAATACGAAAAGCTAGAAAAATACCAAGAGTTGAAAGAGGAACTAGAGAAGGTGTAGAAAAGGTGTGAAAGGCCAAAGAGTCCCAGTGGTTATAGGAGCATTAGGAGCTAAGGGGTTCGCCGTACTAAAAAAAATAACTGCAGCAGATTTCCAGGAATGGCTTCAGAGACCTCTCTATAGAAGAGATTGCTGTGAATATCTAAGATGTTGCACAGAAGCTCTTAGGCTTCTGGTAGTGTGCCGTAGATTAAGGATGATTCTTACCAGCCACAGAGAATTAGAAGGGGTTTTTTTAAAATTCTCTGTGAAAAAGTTTCTATAGCAATAAATATTTCTTTTATTACTGCTTTAACTATAATAATTAGTAATAGAAGCTTTTTAATCCTTTTTTAAGCCCCTTATAACTCCCTTTTTACATCTTATTTTTCGATGTAAATTTTCAATCCTGCTAGGTAGAATTGCAACTCTAAACTGAGCAACAACCCACTGAGCTATTTTTTCTCTTTCTGCTTTCGGTGATGTTCCACTCGGCGGTCGTCGCTCAGTTTCGTACTCGAGCTATTCTCGATACTCGGTGGTACTTACCTTAGCGCTAAGCCACCGACATACTGAATTTGCTCTTAAAGTTAAATGCACTACACTCTTATTATTATGCATTTCTAAGGTATTTTAATAAATTCATTTTATTAGAATTAACTTCTTATAATTTTCTAATTTTTATCAAAGATTTACTTTTAATTATTTTTGTTATTTAAAATATTAATATTAAAATATCTATAAAAGAGAAAAAAAGTCTTTAATCTGATCCTAATATTGAGATTTTAGGATATTTGTAATGACTGGAAATCCAAATAAAGTTGTATTTTTCAGCTTTTTGAGGTAAGGCCTAGGCCTAGAGTTTTATCATATGATAGGATTAGTAGTCTTATGCGAAAGAGAAAAAAATTTTACCAAAAATACCAAAATACGAAAATCTTAGCCAACTGTTAATAGTTATTATTGCTCATTAATTTATAATAAAATTTTTAAAAAATTGTTAAATCAATTAATCAGTTTCTGTTAATATTATTTATCGAAAACAAATTTATATAGAAATTTATATTATAATTATAATTTATATTTAAATAAAGGTAAATATTTTTAAAATTTTTTTATTAATAATAAGTTTATTATTTAAAAAAAATAAACTTTACAATAAAAATAATAAAAATTTTTTTTTTAGATTTTAAATAGAATTTTAATGCATTTTTCCTAAATTTTGCTCATCATTTTTATTCTTTTTTTGGTTGTTCTTAGATAAATAAAAATTTTTTTTTGAAAAAATTTATGAATTATTTATTACTTTCTTCCATATCAAATTCTTTTTTTTTTGAATTGGATCGATTTGCACCATTTGTTTGTCCTTAAAAATTATCACCGCAATCAGTTATTTTGGTCAGTTCAGTTATATCTGTCACATCATCACATAGTTATTGTTTTTGCTTTTCTTCATTTTTATGGTGATTTTATCTTATCATTGCCCTCAGGCTGATAATGCCTTTCACATTTGTTATAAAATTTCTTAAACATATAACTCGTGTTATTTTTTCTTATATTTTCGTATAAATTTTATTTACATAAGCGGCGTTAACCAATAAATATTTCAGCGTATCATTTTTCGCTGGGAGGCCAAAATTACCCGAAAATTTTGTCGAACTGCGGGGGACTATGGCCCATCGTTTTTGGCAGCCGAATAGTTCCCCTGCAGACCGTTCTCAATTATTGTTATAGTCTATTTTTAATCGAAATTCACCACGATGGCGAGTATTATTCTGCATAATTCAACAATAATTTCTTCCTTACTATTATTATTACTATTATTATTCAGCAATTTCTGTAAAGGTTTAAATGATTATAGAACTGTTAAACGTGATAATAATCATCAAGATAATCGTGATTCTTCTTCTTCAACTAATGCAAAGTTCGATGTTTCTTCTAAGAATCCAATTCATATTCTTTTTCCTTTACCAAAAAATGAAGGTAAACCAGAAGAGAATCCATTTGGCATAACGATTTCACTTGCTGAACCAATTATCGATATCGCTTTCGATGAAGTCTATCAGCGTTCGCTGGTACCAAAATATTCGCTAATTCGGCATATACGTGATACAAATTTATCGGATGCTATTGGTCCAAATGTTGCGATTGCTCAACTCGTTCGTGGTGAATTAGATTGCATTATTGGTTATGCTTTTGTTTATGCATTAGCACCAGTTGCGAGAATGTCACCATACTGGGGTCAAGGAATACCGGTGATAACATCGATTGGCTTAACATCGAACTTAGATGATCGTAAAGAATATGCGCTTCTCACTCGCATCACAAGCCCATATAAAGTGGTTACAGACGCAATTATAAAAGTATTTGATCAGATGAACTGGCTCAAAGTTACCTATTTATTTAATGAACAACGACATGGAAGCAGTAACGCGGGGATCCCATATGGCGAGTGTTATCTCTTAATGGCATCTTTGCAGCGAATCCAGTACAAGCGTAACAAAATGGAACACAATTATTTCATGTTTAATGAGAAAAAGTACGATTCGAAGCAGATTTTAGTGCATTTGATGAAAGCTAGCGAAATAAGTAATGGTAAGTTTTCATTTATTTCTCTTTTTTTATTTTCACTCACTTTTTTCGTAATTTTTTATAATTTCTTTTAAAAAATATATAAATTCGTACTTCCAGAATTCATTCTCATTAAATTTTTTTCATTATTTATTTTGCAAAAAAAAAATACCGTAAAAATATCGTAAAATTATAAGACAAAATTATTTTTTAGTAAAATGATATGAAGCACATTTTCTGTTGAGTTAGCGTGGTTAGAACTTTGCTTATTTGATCAAAACAAAATCACTCACTGAAATTTTCATTTTGTTATTAGTCGATTTTTCAATCATCAAACATGTTCGCTATCACTGGTTCGAATATTTATTCCACGAGTGTTGGGAATACTTTTTTTTTCTTGTAAATTAATTTTTTAAGCAAAATTTTACGCCCCATTTCTTTAACATTAGTATTAACATTGATTATCAACGATTTCATTCATCTTTAATGTAGCCTTAGCTAAGTATCTTCTTTGATAAAAATATCTTTGATTCTTGATTTCGCGAAAATGCACTTCGCTCTAACTGATCACTCTTCGCTTTATCAAAATACTCTTGGCTTTATCAAAACACGTGTATAAGCCCCATAATTAGGCTAATTACCACGCTATGTTTGGTTTTACTAATTTTTTGTTTTTTTAAAAACAATAATAATAATGATAGTGAAAACAATGGTAAATGATAAAAATAATAAAAATATAAAAATAATAATAGCAAATATTAATAAAAAATTAATAACAATGGTAACGATGTTTTTTGTGATTTTAAATTCGCTGTAAAATGAAAAAAAAAATTCTTTTGCAGTAATTTTGATTATTTTATTGGAGTGGTGATAGAACCTTCGTTTTCTTGTTTATCGTTTTTTTTTACATAATTTAAAGGTTTTCGAAATCAATAAAAATTAGACTTTCATAGTTAATTTATTTCCTCTTATCTCACACGTCGTATATTAAATACATTAATTTTTTTTTTCTGGAGAAGGTCCGAAAATAAATTCTTATAACTAATCGATATTCTAAGCCTTTCTTAGATCCACGAATCTTCGTTGTTGGCCGTGTTTATCTGAGATTTCATAGGTTTCGAGATTCAGAAATTGGCCCACTGTGCAAGAAAAAAAAAAGACGTTAATGGGCACCCTTTATTCGTAGTCGCTCAATAATGGTAGTGAAAATAATGATAAGTGATAAAAATAATAAAAATATAAAAATAATAATAGCAAATATTAATAAAAAAGTAATAATAAAGTAATAAAAGAAATAATAAGTAAGTAGTAAATTTGGCGAAAGGATTTGTGCAGTTTTGTCTTATCTTCAGTATTGTAGTAAAACTTTTCATCTTTGAGTTCTTTTGATAAAAATTCTAATAATATTGATAATAATGATAATGCATTTTCTAATATCTTATTTTGTTTTAAAGTTTTCAGCGGTTATCGAAGTGTGCAAATATTCAAGCGCGCTAATGAATGCACTAATGAGTATTGCAAAATACTTGAAGCACTTTTTTTCTTTCTGCAGTGGCTATTAATTAGGCGATATGGGATACACACCGTCAGGAAATTATTTGCGATAAATTTTAGGTCTGCCAGTGATAATAATGCGATAGGCTCATTGCTAAAAATTCTCCCATTTTATCTAAGCATTTTTTTTCCATTATTTCCTAAGGAGAAGTAATTGAATGAATATAATCTTGAGAAATGAAGAGGAGTGAATTAAAATTTCCTAGAAAAAAAGTCTCTTACTTGTGCGATATGCGATACTTTGTTAAATAAGACGCAATAAACACAATCATTCATTTACCTGCTTTTTCGAGTGTTATTCGATTTTTTAACATAAAAAATTCTTTCGTTTTTAGCAAACATTTATAATAAAAATATATTTTGGGTTCTTTCATATGATGAGTTTATTAATTTGTAATAATTATTTGTTTTAGCTAGTTTTTGATAAGCTTTTTGTGAGTAGGGTGCCTCAGTGGATCTTTGCTCTCACACCGAGACGCCAGTTTTGCAGTTCTAATCTGGAAAGGAGTGAAGTTTATTTTTCGAAAATCTAGTTCCACGGCAAAAGCTGTTTGCTCTCGACAAATCAGCGAAATGAGCCTAACCAAAAAATTGAAAAAACCGTTCACTAAATGAGTTTTTTATGAGAAAATGAGTGATTTGCTCGTGATGTAATCAGTTAGTTAGTTTTGATAAATTTTTATTGATTTATCGAAAAAGTTTTATTCGATAAGTGTTAATGATAAGTTTTGTTAGAAAAATCTGCAGTCATTTTGGCAATCGTTACTATCATCTCATCTTCGACCCATAAAAAACATCAATCATCAATCATTGCTGATAAGTGATTACATCAATGATTTTTTTTTTGTAAAATGATAGCTGATTGCGAGAAAAATTTAATATATCAAATTCTCATTTTCTGCATTCATTGGTCGTCATTTTCATTAATTTATTATCAAATGTTTTTATCGATTGATAATTATTTTTGAAAATTCCATGAATTTTTTAAATTTTATCATCACTTTTATCATTTGATATTTAAGATAGTTAATTATTGATTAATTATTTTAAAAAATTGCAGAAAAAATCCTATGTATGAATTTTTCTTTTAGAAATTTGTAAATAGATAAATGATGATAAAAAAATATTAAAATTTAAATTTATTAAATTAGAAAAAATTAAAATTTATTAAATTAGAAAAAAAATTTCTTGTTGATTTCAAGAAAAGGAAAGGAAAAAGAATTGATGAATGTGGTGTTTGTGAAAATATTGGAGGAAAGGGGTGAAACGCAGAAATTGAAGATGGTAGGAAAAAAGATTTTTAACAATAGCCAACAAAATTAACCTAATCTTTGCCTTTTTTTCTGGCACCATTGCTAATTATGCTGGCTTTGCTGGCTTCTAGGATGAGACCTTACCTGTCCACTTGATCCAAGGTCACATCTGGAAGCCATTCCTTTTTCCATCGTCTAAGTCCATATATTGCTGGTCCATCTATATATTCAAAATTTTTCTTAACCGTATCAGTCCAGGTCTTGATTGGCCTATCTCGTTTTTGACGCCATCCATCACACAGCTTAACGAGTAACCAAATATGCGACGACTCTTGTGGTCGACGGATAACGTGCCCTAACCACCGAAGGCGACGATACATTGACCCTGAGTCCTATTCTTTGCAGTTTCTGACATTTTCTGACACGTTATTTAGCATTACTTGCATTTTGTCATGAGTGTCAGCAAAAAGGACTACATCATCAGCGTATTCAAGATCTGTGATACGTGCTCTGGAATGATTTGGCCCTTGAGTGCCGAGTGCTGTGTCTATTACCCAGTCTGTTGCATAGGGGAAAGGATGCAGCCTTGACGGACACCAGTTCTAGTGTCTGTTTATTTCGAAGGAATCTGTCAGTTCTCCATATACCCAGATCTGCACCGAGGCTCATAAAATGCCTTTATGAGTCGAATGATCTCTGGAACACGGTCGCATTTCATCATACTCTAAAGCGCCTTTCTATCAACTGAACCAAAGGTAGCCATAAAATCAATGAAACACGTGACAGTGGGTTGCAAATATCTGAAGCGATGTTCTGAATGTCTGAAAAAGGAATGGCTTCTATTGCTGTCGACGATGATATCAGATCGGTAGTTTGGAAGCGTCTTACTCTTGTAGAGGTTGGAGCCAGCCTAACCAGTAATGGCGAGAGATGTTAGAAAAAAAATCACATCTGGAAATAACATAAACTACTCCTTTTCCAGCGCCTAAGGTTATGGATGAACTTTCTGATCTTCCACTTTCATGGAGATTTAACAAGATAATATGCATTCCAATTAAATACATGAGAAATTTTGCTTAGATAGTGATTTCGTGGTGAATGCATTAATAGCTGTAGGCGTCCCTGTCTTAAGCACTTGGACGTAGGATTTAAAAATCGACATTTCCTTAATCATCTGATATTGGCAGTTCATCTTTATCTTGGGTTATTGACCACAGATTTTGCGATTTTTGGTTTCTTTTATGAAGAAGCTCTTATTACCTGTTCGAATAGCCATCTTCTTATTTAGTACCAGTTTACTCCACTAGCGTCTTCTTACCGGCGCTATTGCACGCCTTTAGCTAAGACCTCTTGGGACATTTGAGCTGAATCCTTGTTTTTCCAGCTATCTTCAAGTCGATCGAGTTTAGTTGGGACCAATATTCACTGAAAATCCTTAGCCTTATACTAGTGGAATTAACCTAATCGGTAAAAAATAAGGTAAAATGAATGAAAAAATGAAAAAACGATGGATTACTTGAAGAAAATATCAATCACTATCATTCCTTCACTGACGAAATTCTTTTTCATTATCAAGTTGGTTAAAAAATTTCACGAAAATTGATGTTTTTTTTTCGTTATTTTAAACGAATTTTGCAGAAAATTTTGTTTTGCATTTGCATTGATCGAATTTCGTGCAAAAGAATTTAACAATAGCAAGTTTTTTTTTTAAATCGAAACTAATGGCTGTAAAGTTGAAATTTTTTTTTTTCGATTTTCCATTCTATTTGATTAAAATTCTCCTTTCTTTTATTCTTTTTATTGAAATTCAATTTTAAAAGAAATAAATTTTAGGAAATTTTTTGAGAAATTTTTAAAATTTTTATAAAAATTATACATTACACATATGGGATTCTCGTATAAAAAATAATGATAATGATGACAAGATGGTGATAATGATGATAAGGCGATAAGATGCCTCGATAGATTACTTAAAGGAAAGATTATCATCATCTCTTCATTGATAAAATTTTTTTCCATTACCATTAATCGATTAGTTTAAATAATAAATGAATGAATTTTTCAAATTACTTATTTTTTATATCCAATAAAATCTTATAATTCTTATAAATAAATTTTTTATATAAAAGAGTAATTATAGTAGTCAGTAAATTCATTTAACGAATTTTTATAACGAATTTTTATAATCAACAATTAATGAATGCAATGAAATTTTATGGCACAAATGAAGCAAGTAATTATTCAAACGATGAAATTTATTTATTTTCTTCGTCCTTTTTTATGAAAAAAATTCGTTTTCATCCGAATTTTTTTGAAAAATATTTTTGGAAAATTTATTTGGCATTTTTGAAAAATTTTTATTCTTAAAAAATATATTTTTTATAAAACAAAATTTCATTTCTTATCATTCCAAAATAAATTTTTTTATTAAATTTAAATAAATTTGAATTTCGTCTCGCACCATCATTAGCATGCAAGCAATTCTGTGTGCGGTTTTTATAATATAATTATTCTATAACTTATCAGGTTATCAGTTAAAAGATAATGGTTTGGTTTTATCGTTTAAAAAGAATAAGAGCCAAGTTAAAAATTAAAGGATTTGGATGGTGCTTAGGACTTGTATGAATTTTATCCTAATAATTAGTGAAATTTTTCTCAATTTTATTTAATAGTTTTTTGTCAAAAAAAGAAAAGAAGAATCTCATTTAAGAATTCTTTATTTTTTTATTAGAATTTTCCTTCAAATATTATTATTACTTTGTTTTTCGAAATTTAGATAGGAAATCGATAGTGAAGAAATGGATAAAGGCTAATTTTTAGCTTATTTTTGCAATGCATGGAATGGATGTGTGTATGTTTGTGTATGTTTGCATGAATGTGTGATATATATGTCTATCACTGTCACTCTTTATATAAATGTGTCACCTTTTTTTATAAGCCAATTTGTTGTAAGTGAAATTCATTTATAAAAAGTGATCAAATATTTGAATATATTGGAGTGGACTTAAAGGATGAAACGAGTGGTACCAATGACCTATTTATACTTCAGTCGTTAGTACCAATTGCCTGGCAGAAAAATTTTTAAAAGTTACCAGCTGAGCTAATCTAATTAGATATAAAAATATATGAGTATAAAAAATAAATAATTCATGGAAATAGGAAAAACCTGCTCTCATAATAAAAAAAAAATTATTTGAAGCATTTACATATTAATGAGAAGGAAATAAGTATGCAAAGAAAAAAACCCAGAAACTATTCGGTGACAGTGATCGATTATGGACATGACAAATAACATATCAGTCATTTTTAGGATTTTTCAATATTTCAATTGCAATTTAGATTTGAAATGATAAGGACGAGATATTAGCATAGTATTATCAATAAACTGATTAAATTCTAAATAAATAGAAAAAAAGAATTTTCTAAGATTCATCGAAATTTATTGATGTTTGTTGTCAGATTTAAGGAGATATAAAGTTTTTCTTTCTCTAAAAAATGATTTATAAATGAATCATTTCATTATTCGAGATCACATGAATTAATAGATAGTTACATGTGGCTAACTGGGTTTCGAGAATTGATAAAGCAGTGATAAAGCTTTCTAAAGTTGAAAAATGAGTGAAGAGAAAGAGGAAAAACTTGGCTTTAAGTTGGCTTTGTTTTGTTAGTGTGATTAGATTGAAATCGCTTGGCGCAGATGGATCGCCAGCAATGTTCCTTTTTTTTAATGACAATTTTACTCCATCGACGACGTTTGTAGATTTATTTATGTATGTGTGTGGTTTATGTGATATGCATATAGCACGTAGATATAGTGCAAAACTCGTTGATGATTTAAAGTAAATTTGAAGCAGAATTTTTTTAAAATTTTGCTGAAAAACTTTTATGAAAAAAAGAAAAATGCTAAACTTTTAATGCAAATATAATATAAAATTATTTAAAATATAATTTTTTTCAAAATTAAATTAAATTAAATTAAAATCGATTTAATTGAAATTGAAATCAATTAATTTAAAAATGAGAAAAAAAGTGCAAAATTCTATAGAATTACTGGAAAAGAAAACTGAAAACTTTAACTAAGAATTTTCTCAAAAACTTTCTTTTTTATTTTCCTTCACTTAAGGGAAATAGATTTGCTTCAGAGATTTAATTAATTTCCTCACATTGGTTCTATATTTCATTAGGCTGGCGCGATCGCTTGGCTGGGCTGGTCGATCGTTGGATTGCTCGGTTAGGCTTGGTTGGTTTGTTCGGGTTGGTCGGTTAGTCGATTTGATGAGATTATTCGTTTAAGATAAAATAAGGACTTTCATTGTGAAAAGATTTTCAATCATAGGAAATATTTACCGATCGTTTTAAGAAAACAGAAAATAGAGATTATTTTTATCCTCCAATTTTTAAGAAAAGAAAAGAGAAAGAGGATCTGGAATTCTCTGATAAAGAGAATTATATCACTCGGTAAATTTTTAAGATTTTTCGGCAACTATTATTTGCTTTGAAGAAATCGCTGAATTTCTCAAAATTTATAAATTAATTTATTTTAAAATTAATATCATTATTATTATTGTTAATATTTAAGATTTAAGAATTTAAACAAGTTTCATTAGTATTATTTGTATGGTAAAAAATATGGAACTATTTTATATTGAATTAATAAAATAATTTAAATAATAAAATAAAATAACCACTGAGAAATAATTTTTAAAAGGTCGAAACCTATCCGAAAATTGTTATCATATACAATAGCATATAGTGCATTTTGATTGCTTTTATAGGCTTTTGTTGGTTGATATGTGGGGGAAATTAGAAAAGAGAAAGCGAAACCGTTGAAATTTTCTCAGTGGCTGGTTTACTAGTAACGCTGCTAATGCAAATGCTAGTAGTGATGACGATGCTGTTGAAAATGCTATTTGCTGGCTTTTGTTGGGCGAGAAGAGAGAGCGTTTTATTGCTTTTTTATTCAGCTTTTTTTGAGTTATAGAAATATAAATAAAATTATTTATTTATTTCATATTTCAGTTTATAATAATTGAAATAATAATTTTATTCGATTTTCATATATTTTTTTGCTTAAATATTTCTCCAAATATTTCCACTTTTTTTGGCATAAAAATTTATTCTTAGATATTTGCTATTATCAATTTTATATAATAAAACGAATTTTTATTATTAATAATTTTTCTATAATTTTCAATTTTCCAATGAAATTAATTTTTTTATAATTTTTATATAAGCTATTGCTATAAGCTATTCTTTTTTCCTAAATTTTTTTATAATTTTTTAACTTCGATCAGAATTTGGATTTAATTATATATGCTGAACAAAAGGAATTTATTGAGCGAAAGCTGAAAAGAGGTTTTTTCTTTGATAAAACACCATAATCAATGATTTTTATCGATTTTATTCGATTTGTCAAATGATTTTGTGATTATTGATTATCATTAAAACCAAATAGGTTGAGATAAAGGCCATTGATAAAATTATTAGTGATAAAAGTGAATGTATATAGCTTTTATTATTTTAAATAAAAGGAGGATTTTGCTATTTCTGTTCCTATACTTCTATTATTTCTACAAAAGTACAAAAGTGAATAAGTAAGAGTTGCGTGGCTCATTGAAAAGATCGTAAAAAGACTATATTTCACTTTTTTAAAGACTTCTCTTTTGCGTGTTCATTAAATAATTGAATTTCCATAACTCGTATTGTTATTTAGTTGATCAAAAACCCGAAACTGGTAAACTGGTTTTCTTTTTTCTTCTTCTTGCTCTGAAACACTTAATTTACAATGCATCAAATGTGCAAAACAGTTGCTCTTTTAAAAATAATTCATTAGTAGTTTTCAGCAAAAATCGAAATTTATCTTTATTTATTATTATTACCATTATAATTAATATTATTGCTATAATATTATTTCGGAATATTTCAATCAACGAATATTAGTCACGAATTAATAATATTTAAATACCTAAAATCCGTTCGCTTCAAGTTCATAATCGCCATCGTTGTCGCCATTCTCGTCGCTATTTGTCGCTTTATTTATTGAATTTCTTGTTTTACGCCGATTTTCACGCAAATTATCTTTTTCTTCAATCCTGAACGAGTAGTCCAACGAATTCTTTGATAAAATTTTGTTTAAATCTTCAACAATGTTAACAACAACATTCACATTTTATTGATTCATATGGCACTACAACAACGTTCTTCATTCATTCTTCTTTTTTCTTCTCTAATATTACAACAAAAAATTTATATATAATTTTTTTAACACCTTATATATATATGTATATATATTATTGAAATGTGTGCGCAAATTAGTGCGTAAATGTAGCGCTGATAATAACAATGATAGTGATAATGGCAATGATAATATTTTTTACTTAATTTGGATTTAAAACCGTAATAATACGGTGATTTATAAACTATCCGAATGTTAAATAATTATGAGAAACTGTGTATCGTTGATTTTTTTCTATACAATTCTAATATTCTTAATAAAATATTTATCACGAATCGCTTGCACTGATGCAGCAAAAATTTGGCAGTCAACAGCAACAACAACAACAACGACAGCGCATAAATTACCATTTAATGTTATTGTTATTCTACCTGAAAAAGAATCATGCAATGATAAACTTGGACTAACGTTGGACAAAGCGCGACCTGTTATTGATATTAGCGTAATGGATGTTGTTAAGTCGGGTAAATTACCGAAGAATTTCATAAACTTTACTTACTATGATTCGCGCTATTGGGAAGATGTTTCGCTCGCTGAAATGTGGTCAACAGTTGGTGTGGTAAATGCATATTGTGCTGGACGACTCGACGCAATTCTTGGTTTTGCTGACAGCTATAGCTTAGCAACAGTTGCTAAAGTTACCGCTGGCTTCGGTAATGGTGTACCAGTGATAACAACTGCTGGTATGACATCGATGCTAGGTGCACAAAAGACATATCCATATCTAACCCGAATGCAAGGAAATTATCGTCAGATGGCAGATAGCCTTTATAAATTGATCGCATATCGCGATGAGATAACGGCAGATATCAATTCATCGCATTCTTCGCATTCATCACTTGGCTACAAAAATTTAATCTTTATGTACCATGATAAGCGTCGTGCGATAAATCGTCCACGTATTGCTGATAGTGAACAATCATCGACTGGTGTCTCAAGTCATTGCTATTTTTCACTTTATGCCATAAAAACGTTTTTTGCTGAAAAAAGTGCGTTTTTTAAAGAAAACTGGAAAATCCAAACACCATCATTAGCGTTTGATGAAGAAATTGAACGTAATGCGAATGATCTCAAAGGATGGTTAAAAATTGTTTCCGAATTAGCTAATGGTTTGTTTTTTATTATTTTATTATTTTTATTGTTTTAATATTTTTATTTATTATTTTTAAAGAAAAATCTTTATTCTTAATTTTTAATTTTCAATCTTAAATTCAATTTTTTTCTTCCTTTATCATTCATCTTTTAATTAAAATAAATTTAAATTTTAAAAAAAAATTTCTAAATTTTTCGAAAATTTTTTGAATTTTTTTCAAGAATAATTTAAATCGTTAAAATTACTTGGAAAATGAATTGACTTTTTTTTAAACCCATTTACTTTGTATTTTTTTGTGATTTATTATTGTTGAATTTGAACCTTCGAAATACTTTTCTCTTAAATAATTTATTATTTCACCAATTTTCGAGTAATATTTTTTGCTTATTATTCATTAATAATTAACTCTATTGGGGGTCGAATAACTTATTTGGTTGTTTCTCTCATCTCGGTGCGTCGATTTTGGGGTTTTACTTCCGGCAGGAAAAGAACCTATTTTTAAAAATACTCTTCCTCGTGTTTCACCTTCACCATTTCTGGTTAGACTATCACTTGGCTGGCTGGTAGTACGGTCGAAAACTTATGCTATACTCGTTAGTCGGCACTGAAAACATAGGTTGTTCGTCAGTACCATCCGCGTTTTCTTACTATTTAGTCCTGTAGTTTCGAAGTATTGCCTTTTTATAATGATCATTCATTTTCTTTAATATCTTTTTTTATGAATATTTCCTGTAAATAAATTCTTGCTTGAGATATTTTTTTATTTTTTGAAGGATAAATCTTTTTTTGGCATTAAAATATGCATTTATTTAAAAAAAAAAAATGATCATTTTATAAGAAATTTTCAGTTTTTTAAAATTAAAATTTGTTAAATTTTCTTAATTTTTATTTTTATTTTAAATTAATTATTATTTGGTGAATTTTTTAAAAATTAATTCCATTTTTATTTTGTTCTTAATTTTTTCCCTATAATTTTTTTAAACAAATTTATCAAATTTATAAACAAATTTTCTTAAACAAATTTATTTGATTTTTTGTATTTTTTTTCTATGGGGTCCAATAAAATTAATTATTAATTATTTTAGTTTTATTCTTTTTTATTTCAAAATCTCTAAGGTTCAATGAAATCGCTAAAAGGAATTTGAAAATTTATAGATGTTCATTTCGCCTTTTTAATTTAATTAGTTCGCTCATTAGGAAAAGGCTATTTTATTTGATTAATTTTCTATTTATATATATTTTCTATACTATTCTAATAATTTTCTATTATTTATTGATTAAGGAAATTATCCTTTTTTTTTGTAATCCGAAATAGTTATTTTATATGCTTATAGCTTAAATTTGAAAATAAATTCTCGATGAGCTGATAAGATTATTGATAAGACTATTAGAAAAAAATAAATTTTCTTCTGAATGAATGCCGAATTCTAAAATTTCTTTGTATACGATGCCTACTCTCTTCCTCCATTCTCTTTAACCACGATTTATTTTTATTTTTATCCCCAAGTGACTCAATAATTCCTCAGATTGCTTGTCGTTGTTAAAAGCTAACGAGCCTGGTCCAGAAATAATTGTTTATTATTTATTAATTTACCTAAGTAAGTTCATTATTTAGAAAATAACAAAATTGAGGCTCATGTAAACATTAAATACTTACATAACAATAACACTAAAGCAAGAAAAGAATGTAAATGTTTATGTGATAAATAAGTTAAATGAATAGAATAAAAAATAGAATAAAAATAAGTTAAAATGATAAAACAATATTTTATAATGATAAAATAATTATCTGTTTAATAAAAAAAAAATTTTATATAAATTGTATTTTGTATTTATATGTGAAATTTTGTATTTTTTTTAAAAACCAGCACTTTTTTTCAATCAACACAAATCATGATTTTTGCTTTGAAATTAATGAATTTTGCTTTTCGCAAATTTGTCATTTTCGCAAAATGAATTTTCATGAATCGATTAAAATTTTCAAAAGACTAAAGGGTTCGTTAAATAATTCTCAACTCACATTCCTTTTTGATTTTCATTAATATAATTTATTTTATTAAATATTTAATAGTAATATAATTAATTTGATAAAGAATCAACGAATTCATAATATTTTTGAAATATACAAAACGTTATTTATTCATATTTATTAAGCTAAACATTCTTCTATCTATCAGCACCATTACTGGTTATTGCTGGCTCCGCTGATTAGGGCTTAGTAAGGCTTTTCTTTCTGGGTTATATCGGAAAATAAGTCATTCTACTGCAGGAACCATGGTAAAGAAATCCTCAAAGATACCAAATTTTATTTTTTATTCATTTAAGAACAAAACTGAAGATTTTCTTATCAAAATACAAAAGCGTTCGTTCGGCCACTTCTTGTCTACAATACAACTCCCTGAGAATATCGTTAATCAAATAAAATAATTGAAAGACTCCAAAAATATTTTATACGGCACTTCTCTCCTAATTGCGATTTTAATTATAAAAGAAAAATTTTACAATATAACCTGGATTCTCTCTCAGTTCGTCGAATTAAAAAAGATTTAATTTATACTTATAAGATTCTGTATGGTTATGTTAAACTAAACTATTATAATTTTTATTAAAATATTATAATTTTAGGTTAAATTTAAATTTGAATCCAACAAGAACTAATAGGCTAAAATTACTAAAATTACTAAAACCTATGTGCAAAACTAAACTATGGACTCATGACTTCTTTTTAAAAGAAGATTAGATAATATCATTAATTAAAAGTATCATTCAAGAAATGTGAAATCTCGACCATTCGATTATATATAATATAGTTACTTCGAATTCTACCATACAATATTATTTTGTGATTTCCTCTTTTATTTCCTCTTTAAATTGTTAATTTTCGTCATATTTTCTTTTTTTTTATCATTATTTATTATTATTTGTTATTTTTCCTGTTGCTATTAATACAAGCACATGGCGTTTGTCGTCCTACTTGGCTGGTTTTCAGTAAATAAATAAATTTCTTTTTCCACCGTCTAAGCCAATATGTCAGTGGACTGCCTATACGTGTAAGACCTTTTCTGATTATATCATTCTTGACTGTTCCTTTTCTTTTTTGGTAGACTATCCTCCACAAGACATGGCAAGTAGCGAGATGCATGCACGGTAAAGCATATGGCCTAACCAGCTTAAGGGATGTGAAGATATTGTTAATGGAGATATTTGAGTGAAGGCGAAGATAGGAGGCGAACGCAATCAAATGAGATTTTATGTGAGTTCTACTTTACCAAGGTAGCGAGATAGCTTCTTAACATAACTTCACTTCTACTGGCCACTTTTCGAAGCATACATCCTACTAATTAATAGAACTTTCTTGATAGTAATTTAGTGATTTCATAGAAATGAAAGAACGCATTCCTAACTGCGATTATCTGGACTGTAATTGTGATTATACATTTCTATATATATTTTAATTTTGGATTAATTAATTAATTGGTGATAGTGGTGATGTTTTTTGATTAAATTCGGTGATAATCAATTCTAGAAAGGATTAAGTGATTGGTTTCATACACAGATATTGCAGCGGTTATTTAAAAGCAATAATTCCATTGCTTGAATTTGGTTTGCTAAATTTATTTAATCAATGATAACGAATGGATTTTATGAAATGAAGGTTGGATCGGCTGACTTAAATTATATTTTTAAGATATTTTTAAAATCATAAAGCAGCTGAAATTCTTTCAATATTAACTAATATTAGCTATCTATATTCATGATTCTTAAAATTTCACGCAATTTTATTATTTTATAAATTGTGGAACAAACAGAAAAAAAAACTAATCTAATCTTTATTCTCTAAAACATTTTTATCTTTTTTTTTAAGCACATTTATTTATTAAATTAAAGAAATTAATAAATGTTAAAATGTATAAAAGTTTTTATGTGGGAGTAGAATGGCTGTATTGTTGCCATTATTTCGGAGTTGCAGTGCTGGAGTTGTACTCTCGGTATAAGTAAATCTGTTCTTAAAAATCCGAGTGGTATTGGCGATTCACCTATATTTCTGTCGCCAACTGGCAGCCTGACAAAATTTTTCTGGTCCATGACAAGGCAACGTAATGAGTCTAACCAGTAATGAGTTATCAAAAAAAGGAATAGTAAATAATCGTCGTGAATAATTATAACAAATCGTTGAAGAAAGGAATGAAAAAAATATTTATAAAGTTTTATTTATTAAAGAAAATTATTCAAATTTTAATTTCCGAAAAATATTTTTGACAAATTTCAAGGGAATTGCAAAATTTATAAAGGTAAAAATATGAGCTTATAACGAACAAACAATAAGATGAATATGAATTTTGGCCAAAGCCATTTGATATGACATATTTTGCTTCAGAAGTATCAATCAGCATAAATTCGATTGCATTTGCTTAAAAAGGAGTGAAATTGGGTAGTTACGTTTTGTCTCTATTTAGTTTGTAGCCAACAGTCCATAGAGTGAGCCAAATGAAATTATGAATTATTAAAGTGTAAAAGTCTTAAAATTTATTCTTCTTCTTTTAACAGCTCTTATCATTACTGGTCAGAGTGGCTCCAAGACTACAAGGATAATACGCTTTCAAGCGGCGCGGTCTGATGCTATCGTCGACAGCATTAGAAGTCATTCCTTTTTTCATTGTTTAAGTCCATATATCGCTGGTTTACCTGTAAGTTCAAAGTTTTTCCTGACCTTATCAGTCCAGGTCTTGATTGACCCACCTCGCTTTTGACACCAACCATCACACGATTTAGCAAGTAACGAAATATGCGTCAACTCCTGTGGTGGACGACTTTACCTGAAGAACGTTCCCTAACTAGCGAAGGCGATAATATTTACACAAGTGGTGTTTGAATGAAGGTGCTTAAAATTTATACAGTTCTTTTCTCATAAAAATTGATTTTTAAAGAAAAAAATTCCTAAAATATAAGTCCTCTTAAGCATTCCTCAATTTTCTTTCATTTAACGATATTTTAGGTGAAATTTTTGCACCAACTGGTTTTTATTCGTCTCTAATCGTTTCTCCTTTTAATCA